AATTTGGACCATTTCTCGATTTATGCGTGTCATCCTTGCGCAGGGGCCATGCTAATCTTACCTGTCCTTTTTTGTTGCTACACCCCGAGGCTGGGCCGGTATCCCAACCAAACTAAACTTGATTGGGGACCCTCTTTTTTTTTGTGGGGGGGGGATAAGGGGGTGAGGGGGGGCGCGGGGAACCGTTTGCAATTTGCAACCCCGGCTCGAACCTGCACTGGGCCTGTTTTCTGGGCGTGTTTGGGGCCTATTGGTTACCAACTGGGAATTTCTCGTGGTCCCACAGCAAGACCGGTGATTTCAAGATGGGAATTGCACGTGTGCCCGGGAAACTGCCCATCTATTGCATGTATACCCAGTAAACGCCATGTGGAAATCATTTGCACACCCTGTGCGCTTTTTGTACCTGCACATATTGCAGTTATACCCAACTACCGGTCTGTGCAAATTATGGATACACCCAGGGCAAATTGTACTAGATGTTGAGGGGAGTAGGCAAATTATAGGTATACCCAAGTGCTGGCTATGAGAGTAATCTGTGGCTATGAGAGTAATCTGTGCCAACCAGTAGTTTGGTATATATATTTACAGTGTGACAATATATATTATATACTAATAACCTATAATTTGGCTGGTTGGACCTGGTCCCATATATGCTGTTGTGTTCCTTGCTTTAGATCAAACCGTTGTGCTCAACTTGACCGGTAGATTCGCTGGGGATTCTAATTTGTGGGGACGGCGTTGAGCTGGTTCGAGGGGAGGAGAGGAGAGAGAGAGAGAGAGAGAGAGAGAGAGAGAGAGAGAGAGAGAGAGAGAGAGAGAGATTGGGCTATAATTCTCTTTCTATCTCCATCTCTGCTTGCATCTACTACTAGTAGTGTTGCAGTTGGTTTCTCACTGGTGTGGGAATTTAGCCCATTGTCTTGAGCAGGTACATGTATGGGTGGTACCTTCTCCAGACAAGGCCAAGATAAGGTAAGCTGTTCCATAACAAATAAGGGGTGCCAGTCCCAGAAAGTTCCCTGGTCCCAGAAAGTTCCCTGGTCCCAGAAAGTTCGCTGGTCCCAGAAAGTTTGCCGGTCCCGGCCTGGGACCAGGAACAACCATAAGATGGCGCAGGGGAAGCGTAAGCTGAAGAGAGGCAGAGGGGGAGGAGAGGCAAGATGGCCATTTCCCCCCTGGGGACGAGGGTAATCGCCGTCTTTAAAGTGGGTACGGAATCGACGCAATTTTTTGTTTTCCCGTTTTTCTGACAAGGCAAAAAGCAAGCAAAAGAAAGGATGGGATAAGATGGGATGGACTGATCGGCAAATATCAGTCTGCGCTCTCAAGGACAGTGCGAAAGAAAACGCCACGAGAAGCACATAATACCATCATGCATGCAAAAACAAGCGGACTAAAGATACACCATGAAAGAGCAAAAAATGAGGCACAAAATGGAAATAATAAATAATAAATAATAAATAATATAAATAATAAATAATAAATATCCATAATCCCTCGATTGAGTCGATTCTCATCTTCAGAAAGCAAAGTCCACCACCCAAACATTCCCATCCATCCGATGTCAACCACCAACGTACCATCGTTATAGCTGAAATTTGAGTGATCTTTCAGTCTAGATACAGCTATAATGACGGTACGTTGTATTCGGTGGATGTATGGTCATTACAGCGGCATTGGAGTCATCTTTCAGTCTAGATACAGCTATAATGACCGTACGTACGTTGTATTCGGGTGAAGACGGTAGTGATCTCGTCAGGAGGATGATCACTCACTCTACAGGGACAGCGATCAGTGTATAAAATACACATGCATCTTGCTAAGATCATAGTAAGATGCGATTGAGAGGTTATTGTTTTTTTAAATTAAAATTTGCATATAATTATTAAGACTGTGATCAGTGTATAAAATACCATTCTCCCGTGTCTTGTCCTTTTCTCCAATTCTCCTCACAGTTCTCTGTGGCTATATGTATATGTATGTATTGGGGCTCGCTCGACCCGTCACCGAAGGTGCAAATGATTGTTCAATTGCGCATGCCGAATAATACAAGACTCGAACACACAACCAACGGCTTGGGAGGCCAACACCCATAACCATAGCGCTAATTGGGCTGGGGTGTAAATGAAGAGTCCCAAGATGAGTACTTCACCACGACACCCCAGCACGGAGATCCCACGACGCGACACGGTGTGTACCCAACCAACCACACTCATCCCCTACGCAGCCACATTATCATACCCTGGGCTTAAAAAAGTAAAAAAATAAAAAAAAATCATAGTGTACAACTTAGTGTACAACTTGGCCTCTACAACACCCTGGGCTTAATAAAATAAAATAAAACAAAATAAAATAAAATAAAATAAAATAAATTAAATTAAAATAAAATAAAATCATAGTGTACAACTCGACGGAGGTTACTGCGCGAAAGGATGTGCATGGCAAATAATACAAGACGCGAACACATAACCAACCAACGGCTTGGCAGGCTAGCACCTAACCATAAGGCCCAAGGTTAGCCTTTTTTTTTTTTTTTTTTTTTTTGTGTGTGTGTGTCAATAGAAACCACAAGTCAGAAGGACATGATATATTCAGCGCCTTGGAACTGGTACATCTACGAAAAGGCCCATCTCCATATTGTAATAATGGGACGCTGGGCCCGGTTCCCAGCAGTTGCAGCTCCCCACCAATAGATGGAGCCTTCACGCGCAGGGCCCTGCTTAGCGAGGATGTTAAAAAAAAATTAAAAAAAACGGAATTAAAAAAAAAAAAAGAGGATAAAAGATCTGATTGTCAGTGACAAGAGTTTGTCTCTCTCCTTTGCGTCGAAGAGCTTTTTCCTTTTTTTTTTCCCCAAAATGATTTTGCCTCTTTGAAAAAACTTCAAAAAAGCAAAAAAAATAAAAAAATAAAGTTCCCTTTTTCAAACCACCACCACATCCAAGCTTCTTTTTTCCTAATAACAATTACCTACTTTGTTAAAAAAAAAAAAAAAAAAAGCTTCTTTTTTCGCAAGTTGTTCCCGAGATGAAATTGTGCTGCGCGCCAAAAAGAAAACAAACTGGCACGACACAATTTTTTGTTTTTGTTTTTGTTTTTGTTTTTGTTTTTGTTGTAGCTGCCGCCGCCAGTCTCAGTGGGTCGAGCCCCCAAGGACGTGGCGAATTCACAACCGCTCAACCGCCCAAGCACTCAAGCGGAAGAAAACTAGGATCTTCACCCGAATATAACACCCGGTCATTATAGCTGTATTTGGGCCATTTTTCAGTCCAGATGCAGCGAAAATGACCGGGCGTTCTATTTGGGTGAAACCGGTAGCTGGGAGATGTGGTGGTGGCTCAAAGCCCTTAAACCACCGGTAGGTTTCCCACCCATTTATTTTCAGAGTTGCAGCTTGCATGCCGATGCAACTTTCGCGGCTCAGCCACCGGAGAAAAAAATGGCGCGCGGCGCCAGCCAAATGGAGGAGACCCGCATCGGTTTACTTTTTTTTTTGCTGTGCAGCATTTTTGGTGTGGAGCACGGTTCCAGCCCCGGGATAAAAGTGCCTCGGAAGGCACACTCGGGGTGGGAGTCCACCTGCAATAGGTAAAGGGGTGGGAGTCCACCTGCAATAGATAAAGGGGTGGGAGTCCACCTGCAATAGGCAAGCCTAACCTCTAAGCATTTTTGGCTTAGAGGTTAGGTTTGAGGGTTGCCTATTGCAGGTGGACTCCCACCCCTTTATCTTACCCCTTTATCTCACCCCTTTATCTACGTTCTTTTGTTGACTGGAGGATGCCGTTTGTCCGCTTGTCCGTTTGTTTGTTTGTTTGTTTGTTTGTTTGGTTGTTTGGTTGTTTGTTTGTTTGTTTGTTTGTTTGTCTGTGAGCTTATGTGGAAAATGCCAGTGGAACCGTTCGATCTCGTACATGTGTTGGAGATCTACGGGTTTTCTCCCAGCATGAAGACGACGGACCTGGAAGGCTGGCTGGACTCTTATCGAGCGGATGGAGTTTTTGTGAAGTGGGTTGATGATACACATGCGCTAGCGGTGTTCAGCTCACCGGCAGTAGGTAGGCCTCCTCTTCCCCTCCCCTTCCCCGCTCCCC